CCCTTCAAGGCTCAGGGGTCCAAGATTATCTTCTGTGTCTGTGTTAATTGGTTTTCCTTTTCTTTGTTGAAGAGGGTCTGTGCAGTCTTTCTGCCTAGTTCGCCATCTTCCTTCTACAGAGTCTTAAAACGCTCAGTCATGGTAGCGGGGCACCATCCAGTTCTTTGGTCTCATGGCAAAGAACACACTTTGAATTTATAATCTGCCCAATGGGGAACTCACTCCTGAGGAAGACAGGGCAGCAGAGTGCTTAAGGGCATGGCTTTGGAACCAGATAAATGTGACATCAAACCCTTACTCTGCCACTTTCCAGATGTATGACTTTACAGCTGACTCCCCTCACCTGAACAATGGCGATAATAGTACCACTGCAGCAGAACACGAGGATTACATATAATTGTGTGTGAGAAGCACACAGTAAAAGCTCAATGAACAGGCTTTATAATAAGCACCAGTCTCATACTCAAGAAACTAAGCCCATTTCTGTGTTTGCTTATTTGTTTCCTGCCTCACTGAATCTCTAACTCTCAGGTGCTGGGAGCCTCCCATCACCCTTTGCTGCCAGGCAGGAGGGGCCCAGCCTCTGTTCTCTCCCAATCATGCTCAGAGCCTTCTCACACAATGGGGTTCTGCTGGGGAAGCTTGCAGCAGCCAAGGCTACAATGACACCAAGAAGATCAAAGCCATTCCCAGGAAAGGCCTTGGTAACAGGACATAACAGGATGTCAGGGATGGGAGGGGCAGATCATTCAGGTCACCCTCCCAATCATACCGAGGGCCAGAAAGGTTCAGTAACTTGCCTGAGGCCACAGAGCCTAGAAGAACCCCCTGCCCCAACTGACACCCACTTTTTAAAGGGCAGCTTTTGCAGTCATGGTGGCCTAAGAAATTCTCCTTGTCCAGGGGTGGTGGTGCTTACTACAGGGTCCCTGAGGCTCTAACACACTTCCTGGGTTCTCAGTGATATAGTCGCTGAGTCCTCAGGAGCCGTCCCCCCATGTCATACACATCCCCCAGTCTCTAAGCCTAGCTCACCAAGTCAGAACTCCTGGGTCATGGCATCCCCAGTCCTCAAAATGTCACCCACGAGTCCACTCCTGAGGAACAGGAGTTGCTATGGACAGAGCCTCCTACTGGCCCAAGACCAGCTTTCCAGCTGTACCTGTAAAACAGAAATCAGGATACCCAGGCTCCCCTGGTGCCACTTTGCATAGTGGCTAGGAAAGCATGTAAAATGGTGAGAAAATGGGGAGCATACTCCCAAAGGACAACACTGGGTCAATCTACAGAAGCTTTTGCCTTAGTACCTACCTGGCTTCCCACAGAGTGCAGAAGGTCTCCAGTCCTCATGCTGGCAGGAGGAGGCAGGCAGCTGAGAGCAGGCTTAGATGCACCAGCTACTGACTCTCTGCTGGTACTGCTGGCCTGCAGCTGGAGGGCTCCTGAGGGGCCACCAGGGTCGGTCCCAGACCAGCAGGCAGGAGCCAGCAGTCCCTCTGCCCCCCACACAGGGGAAGCGGGCCCTCCCTCCACTTCCAGACATGGAGGCTGCTCCCCGCTCACTGGCCCCAAAGTGTCCACTTCCTGTTCCCTGCAGCTCCACTTCCCATAGGGCTGGGCCTTTGTGTCCAAGGATGCGTCCACCTCTGCCTTTTCTTCACTCAGGGCCATTTAACTATCCCTAGGTCAGAGCCCCTGAAGGCTTCAGCTCCCTACAAAAGAGAGAAAGGAAGAGGATATAAATTTTCTGCATCTGTGTCCAGGAAACTACTTTTTAATAATTAAAGAAAATACTCTTTAAGGGAGAGAGGGAGGGAGGGAGGAAGTAAACTGTGGCTTCTTCAGAGGAGGACTGAGGTCCTGCTTCTCCCCGGCCTCAGATGCTTCACAGGTGACAGAGAAGCACATTATTTAGTTCTCTGGTTTTATAGTGGTGGTACCGTTCCCAGCAACAAGTATCCAGGAGGGTCAATGCAGGTCCAAGTCAGAGTCAAAGTACGGGCTCTGCCTATGGTCACATTTTGCCCCAACCCTTCAGCCCAACCCCACTGGATAAGATGCCCTGGCCTGGGCCCTCCTGTTCCCTGCCGTGCCCTGATTCTGTTGTTGCAATCTCCCCATTGGCAGGGGGCTCAGGCCTGGCTCTGAGTGCTTTGCTCTAGAGAAAAGCAAGTCAGGGCATGACCAGGCCTCAGCTAAGCCCTGCAAGGATGCTCCCCCTGATGCCTGGCTGTGGGTGCCAAGGGAGGCAAGGCACTCTCCAAGCACAAAAGCCACACCCCAGAAATAGGTGGGGCATCTCCTTCCAAGGAGGGCCAGTGACCAGAGAGAAGGAGAGATCAGCAACTCTCCTCAAACCAGCTTGGGCTATGCTTAACTGGGGCATGGTGCAGGGCCATGGACATATAGGAGGGGAATAGTGAGAATGTTCATGCAGTGTATGTGCATGTGACAGAGAGGAAGAGGAGGAGCCAGGCAGCTGGCAGGCAGGTGAGGGATCACAGTATAAGGACTCAGGGAGAGAAGAAGCAAGACTCCCAAAAACGCAACCACACAGATATGAAGAGTTCCAGAGACAACAAAAAAAGCCCACCCACAGTTAAGTACAACAGCAAGTGCTGCTGCCTGGGAGCACTGGGGGTTGTGGCTGGTGGGTCAAAAAGCTAATGGGAGAAAGACCAATTCTGGGAGAGTTTAGAGGAGTTGGTAAGGGAATTGTGAGCCCTCCTTCAGGATGGTCATAGCTGCTTGGTGTGCAATTTGGCCAACCTCAAAGCTAAAACCTGGACAGAAACAGCCTTGTTGCCTCCGAGATATAGAGAGGAGGTGCTGGTGGTTGCAGGCAGGCATAAGGAGGCAGAGGTGGCTGTGGGTACAGGCTCTTTCTGCTCAGCTCACATGCTGGGAACGATAGCCTGTGTGGGCACAGCTTGTCCTCTGAGACTGTTCCAGACTGGCACACAGGAGGGAGCTGCCTTGCCCTGCCTATCTGGATATACGAGGTCCACATTCATTCAGAGGGGACCCTAGAGAAGCCAGGCATTTCGCATGGACTCTTGCTTACTTCTCAGACCACCAAATATGGCAGAAACTAGTCAGAAAAAAACCTTTTTTTTGGAATAGGTAATATTGTCATATGGTTCAGATAATTCACTGAAGATATAACTATTCCTCCCCATCTTTGTCCCCCCCATCCCTCCGTGAGAATGAGTCAAGGCATGCAGAACATTTGTTGACGGTGTCTAGGGCATGGCATGTGTGTGTGCACGTGTATGTGTGCACATGCGTGCGTGCATGAGGCAGAACCAGTGTAACAGGTCATCTGACAAGGAAGGAGCTGAACAAAAGGAGAAAGAACAGTCAACTTTTCATATAAATCAAGCAAAATATTTATTACTAGCTACTCCTACAAAAGGAGCTCTGGTAGCATAGTACCTAAGGCACTTGACTGCTAACCTTAAGGCTGGCAGTTCAAACCCACAAGCCACTCCTCGGAAGGAAGGTTGGGCAATCTACTTCCGTAGTGATAGCACCTTGGAAACCCAAGGAGGGGTCGCTATGAGTCAGGTCCGACTTGACGGCACGTAACAACACAACTCCCATAAAAACAGGTAAACTGTCTAACTAGTTTTTGTGTTTGCCTCCTGTCTTCTCATACAAACACAAATACACATTTTCATCCCTCCTCTACTCTTTTAAACAAAGGGAGAAAACTGTGTAAGACAGACTCTTCACAACCTTGTCTTTTTTTTCCTTAACAAATAATCTTGGAGATTGTTCCTCAGCAAGACCCAGAGAGCGTCCTTTCTTTTTTAATATTGTCTAATACTGTCTTCCACTGTAAGGATGCACTGTAGCTTATTTCACCAGACTCTTATTAAGGGAGAGTTGGTTATTTCCAATTTTTTGCTCTTACAAACATTTGCAAATAACCACCTCATAAATACCATTTGCAGGTGTGCTACAATAGCTACATCATAAAAACTCAGACGCAGAACTGTTGAAGCACATGTAATTTTGATGTATGTTGCCAAGTAGTCCTTTACTGAGTGGTATCAATTTATACCCCCAGCACAGAGTGCCAAATTCCCACAGAAGGCAGTCACTCTTATTCTCATTTTACAGATGGTGCAATCAAGGCTCAGAGAGATTAAAATCTAGGACTGTCTGCCTCCAGAACCCAGGCTCTTTAGAACTAAATTACAAGAGCAGGAAGTGCACAAAGGAAAAGAGGGGAAGAGACACAGGTGGACCAAGACAAGTGAGGAAGTCCCACTGAGACAGAGATTTTCATGGCACCACAGTCTCCCCCTGTGGTCCATTAAGAAACTGCACATGAAGCTGTTTAAAGGTGAGCTATGTTTTCACAACTATGGGAATAAATTGGGCCCAGGAGCTGGATAAATGAAGGTGAAGGCTAAACCTGGAGCTCCCAATTTCTCCTTTGTGCTCCATTCCTGAAAGTTCTCAATGACCAGAGTAGGGCCGTGGCGGCTAATGCCTTTCTCCCCCCACTGATTAGAGGGTGTGGTCTTGAGACAGAGGGCTAGAATAAGCTGATGCCAGGCCAAGAGAGGGGACAAATAAATGTCTGCCTGTTATCTTTGTTTTGATAATGTATTTTTGATTTGTCTTATCTGGACTTTATTATTCAAAAATAAGGTATCTCTTATTTTATCCTAGGACAGGGGGTAGTCAGCTGGAATTAATTATAAGCTAGTCAGGAGACCCTTCTAAGTGACTTAGAAGTTTAAATACAAACCTGAACTAGGGCAGCACTGTTGCCACAGCCCACGACCTGCTTCAAGGATCAGGTAAGGAGGTCCAAAATGCACCATTAATGATTTCTGTGGATATGGTATTTCTGGAAAGACAGAAAACAGGTTTATTATTTTCTGAGTCTAGATAAGCAGACCCTATAGATAATCTTACTTATTTATCTAACAAATCATGTTTTCCCCTCTGTTCTATAAAAGTTTATTATTTAGGATGAGAAGTAAGACATATGTGAAAGGAAAGAATTACAAACAAGTTCATGATAATTCATCCCAAATTACATATAAAATGATGCAGAATGCAAAGAAAGGGACAGATCAACTGGGATAAAAATAATTAGGGAAAACTTGAAGTAGATGACTATTGCAGGCAAACCATTTCTACAACAACATCGATAATGCTGAAGAAAACATGGGCCAGCCTGAGGTAAATGTACATTGTTTGAATTCCTAGGGCTTGGCCCCATCTGCATTTTGCTAAGAAGTCATCTGTAATATTTCATGAAGGTCCTCATTTCCATAAACTCTAGGTTTTCCACATTACTCCTTCTAACCCCTTGGGGGTAGGGAGCTCTTCTTGGACCCTTCCAGTGAGACACAGCTTACTCCTTTCCAAAGCAAACCCCTGTACTGCTAAGACAGAAGAAAATGACTTGTTAGGCTGAACCAACACTGTCTCCCAAATCATTAGCTCTAAACAACCTATTACCCCAGGTGGGCCTCCCTGCTATCACATCACAAAGTTATACTGTTCCTGGATGCCAGGAGCTCTATGTTAAGGCAGGGGCCTCTGCCAGGAGGTTGCACTGAATGACAAGAGGCATCCAAGCACAGACGATGATGAATAATGAACTCAACCCTGCCTGCCTGAGAGGTCTGTACCAGAACTGCAATGTCCTGCATAAACTAAGACATGAGCCACAGTAGTTTCATCATATCCCACATTAATTCAAAGACTGCAGCTTTCAGTATGGATTACAACTCACCATAAAGAAAACAAAAATCCTCACAACTAGACCAATAAGCAAAGTCATGGTAAACGGAGAAAAGACTAAAGTTGTCAAGGATTTCATTTTACTTGGATCCCAATCAATGCCCATGGAAGCAGCAGTCAAGAAATGAAATGACATATTGCACTGGCCAAATCTGCTGCAAAAGACCTCTTTTACATGTTAAAAAGCAAAGAAATCACTTTGAGGACTAAAGTGCAACTGACCCAAGAAGCGTGTGAAAGCTGAACAAAGAATAAAGAAGACCAAAGAATTGATGCATTTGAATCATGCTTAAGAATACTGAATATCCACAGACTGCCAAACTGAACAAATTTGGTCTTGGAAAAGGTACAGACACAATGCTCCTTGGAAGTGAGGATGGGGAGACTTCCAGCTCACATACTTGGGACATGACAGAGACCAGTCCCTGGAGGAGGACATCTTGCTTGGTAAAGAGTCAGTAACAAGAAGTAAGACGCTCAATGGGATGGACTGACACAGCAGCTGCATCAGTGGGCTCAAACACAACAATGATTGTGAGGATGGTACAGGACTGGGCAGTATTTCGTTCTGTTGTACACAGGGTCATGAGTTGGAACTGACGTGATGACACCTAACAACAACAACATCATTAGTTCCCAGGACCTGCAGAAGCCGTATGATCTACTAGATATAATTAGGAGTGATGTAGGCTTGGCTTACTCTTGCCCTACAGTAAAAATATGATCACACATCACGTATGTGGTAACTCTAACTCTGTCCCATGTGACCTTTCCTGGGATCTGCTGCACCACCATCGAACAATCCTGTCACAGCTGCCAAGACTGCTCCTACTCACTCTGGTCAGGATGGAGAAAGGAGGAAAGGGGTAGGGGTTTGATGTTCCTCTCTTAACTAAAAATCA